TGAACTTAAATAATAAATCTAGATAAAATGCAGCGCTTCCCACCTCCAGTCGCAATGACTTCTGGGACTTCCAGAGCGAGTTCGGTGCTCAAGTCTGCATCAGTGCGTCCTCGATATCAAGATCACATCCGGGAAGTTTCACGCGTCCTCCGTACTTGCGGTCTGGAGTATTGGAACTGAACTTAGGCAGCTGATGATGACGTTGCACGAGAACACGAGGACGCAAGACCGCTGAAGAACGCATATTGAGAAACAGCCAGAGACATGGACATCAGTAATCGAATTATTTACCAAATTATTAAATGGTGGACTTTTACTGCAGTTTGGCTCTTTCATTCAGGAGTTTCATTCATGCCCCTCATGACAAACGAGATATTTAATTCGAGATATTTAAATAGGAAGGGCGCCTGATTAGGGGGCCCCACGTTGTCGCGATTTTCACTCTTGGGAACAACTGTGGTCGGAACCAAAGTTCACAGGTCTGTGTTCTCTGAACACCTCTCAAGCGGTGGACTACTTTATTCTGATTGCTTGCCACCGAACCGCATCATAGTTCATACCATAAAGTTGACTTGATTTCAACTCTTCTCGAAGCCCACACAGGAGAATACGCGCCGTTCCTCGCCGCCGGTTCTCGTTAAAAATGAATGACTTCTGGCTACTTTGACGCTTTAGCCGCTTTCGGTTTGGGATCGCTCCTCAGTTTGTGATGGCTTTCCCGCGTTGTCGCTCCACCCCGCCTCCCTTCCCCACTCCTCAATTTGTGATCGCTCCCCCGCGTAGTCCAGCTGCACTCTCATAGAGGGAAAATGAAAACAAAACCTTCACTGCAGCACATTATAAAAGCAACACTGATGACCCGTATATCCAGTTCTCTCTCACGGGCTCATTGTGGTAACGTAGCCCCGCGGACGTTTCTGCGGACCGCGAAATACGTCCCGGGTGGTACGTATTCGAGCGTTTTTTGTTTTCGCGGATCCGCGAGAGGCCGCTGTGCGCACTTTTTCGCGTATTGAGAGCCTCTCGGACCCGCACGAAAAGCTGCCGGAGGCCGCTGTGGAGCGACCATCCGTCCGACAGGCCGACCAGGCCGCCCTCCTCCTCCTTCCCTAAACCCAAGCGACGGTTTGCAAAAGCAGTCCAAAAAAAAGCAAAAGCCCTCGTTTTCGACTTCGTCCGTGTTTTTGGATCCCGTCGCATTCTCGCCCATATTTTTCGCATTCTGTTTTTCATCGAACCTGATTTCTGGAATCGCTCTTCCCCGGACCCGATCGTCCCCGCGGCCATCTCCTCCTCCTCCGGGCCTCCGCTCCGCCGACGTAACGCTGCAAGCTAAGCTGACAAACTGGTAGCAGCAGGAAAGTCCTCCACTCGGAGGCGAGCTGTCGGCCGCCGAGCGCAAAGAGGAGGAGTGGCCCGCACCGCCCCGCAGCGTTTGCTCGAGAAAAACTAAACCTCCGGCCACGTAAATCGTAGTCTCCAAAAACGTCCACGGGGTTACGTTTCCAGAATGAGCTTGAGTTACAATTCTTCTTCTCCCGCTTGGCAATACAACGCGGCTTCTCTGAACACTGCCATCTGAACACTGTTACTATCATGCATATTAATGAAGTTGCACAATAAAGTGCGCTGATTGTTTTGAACTTAGTCTTACTCATGCATTAATGCAGCACACTCAGAGACATAATAAGGCACAAACAGGTACAGACGTCCAGTCTACATGCTGGAATACACGCTAAGATCTCATGGCCGTGACGCAGCTTCAAAAATTCATTTCAGACCGGAAGTACGAATTTGCTCAAAATAACACAAAAACAACCAATTTACACTTTTTAGTGAAATATAGGTGTCCTGATAGTGTTTTTAGCAGTGTGGGACACATATACGACTCAACAGCTCAAAAAATGTGTTTTGGTGTTTCATGACCCTTTAACCAACAAGTCCAGCACAGAGGGTGTTAGTTATGCACCTTAAACGCGTACACATTGCTTAGTACACACAGGAAGTACAGCAATACACAAATATCTTTAGAAATGAAAAAAAAATAAAGGATTAAAATGTTTTAAAAAAAAATTTTAATAATTTAATTTTATTAGAAAATAAAAAGAATATTTAAATTTATTATAATTTAAGGTCCCACTTTATATAGTGGCCATAACTAATATGTACTTACAGAGGAATTAATAGTTTGTTACAATGTACTTATTGTGTAAATACATGTATTTACTGTGTACTTATGCTTGATTAAATACATGTATGTAATAACATCTGTAATTAACTTTTGTAATTACATTTGTAAATACACTGTTGACCATCCCTTACACCTTAACCCACCCTTAAACCTACCCATACCACCAAACCTGTCCATAACCCAACCTCTATCCCAACTCAAAAGCACCACAAGTGTTCTCAAATACATTATAAACACAGTAAGTACATTGCATTTATTTTTTGATGTAAGTGCATAGTAGTTAAGGACACTTAATATAAAGTGGGACCAAATTTAATTTTAATTATTAATAGTGCCAAGCCAGTAGAGTGTGTAATTTACACAAGGGGACGCTAAAACGTCTGTTAAATGGCTTATTCAGTTCTGATGCTGATAAAATCAGGGAGTGATAGGGAATGCAGGGAGAACATGCAAACTCCACACAGAAACGCCAACTGAGCCGAGGCTCGAACCAGTGACCCAGCGACCTTCTTGTTGTGAGGCGACAGCACTACTTACTGCGCCACTGCATCGCCTAACTCGACTACTTTAACGCATGATTCCGACTAACTGTAAATGCATCGCTTCAATTTTAGTAAAACAAACCACAGAACACTATTTAAAAAGAAGCGTTTTTATTGCTTGAATCATTTTTCTGTGCTACTTATTAAAAGCAATTCTTAGTACTTCTAAAATTCATATTAATCCACGTTACATATAATATGCGTGTGATCAGATGCACAATAAGTCTAGTTATGATAATTAACAAACTCTATATGCATTTAATAAGTCATCCGCTTGTTAAGTGGTGACGTGTTTGTGACGTATGTAATACTGTTTCCGGGTCCAAGCCGCCACTCATTTGAGTGGAGAAATCATTCGTTTATGATCACGTTTTATTCCTATCACACATTAAAGTTAATTTTATATAAAATCATAGTGTACACAACAATCTCTGGGCTTGCTGCATCACAAATACCAAAATTTTAACAATTTATAAAAAAATAATCACTTTCTGGCCATCGGATATTAGGCATGGACATTTATACTGCGATCGTGATTGTCGAAAGCCTTAAATTGTTTTGTAAATGTTTATTATTACCATTTCATGAGTCTCCCCATTCAGTTGAATAGAGCGCTTGGACCCGGAAGCCGCTTCGCGTGACGTCACACTTAACAAGCGGATACATTCAGCATGTTACATGAAAAAACAATTCTTTCAGTCTTTTGTTAGGTGAAACAGTGAATAAAAAATATGTACGTCACTAAAGAGGAGAGTTCGGCTATACACACATTTGTTTGTGCACTATAAAAATATCATACACATTTTTATTTAATGTAATTTGTAATTTCATTGGGCAGACTAAATAGAGGATGGAAATTGTGCAATGCGGAAACAAGTTCATTCATTAATTTTCCTTCGGGTTAGTTCCTTATTTATCAGGGGTTGCCACAGTGGAATGAACCACCAACTATCCCAGCATATGTTTTACACAGCGGATGCCCTTCCAGCTACAACCCAGTACTGGGAAACATCCATACACACTCATTCACACACACACACTACGGCCAATTTAGTTGATCCAATTGATCTATAGAGCATGTGTTTGGACTGTGGGGGAACCAGAGCTCCCGGTGGAAACACACGCCAACACGGGGAGAACATGCAAACTCCACACTGAAATGCCATCTGACCCAGACTTGAACCAGCGACCTTCTTTCTGTGAGGCGACAATGGTAACCACTGAGCCACCATGTCGCCCGAGCAAAACAAATAGCTTTACAAGAAAATATGTTTTGTATTCTTTCTCATTCAAAATGAGGTTTAATTCACTGTTACTTGTCATTAATTGTGAAATTTACACACAATATCTAAGTGCTAACTGTTTCTATACAATTTTTTTTAGCATTTGCCACAATAAAAACATAATAAAACACACACCAAAACTATTCACTTGAAATTAAGCAAAATAAAATAAACTTCAACTTTCAATTTCAATTAAATTTGAATTTACTAAGGTTACTTATATATATTAAACAATATTATACTATATACACTCCCCGTCCACTTTATTAGGTAAACCTGTCCAACTGCTTGTTACCGCAAATTTCTAATCAGCCAATCACATGGCAGCAACTCAATGTTCAGTCCATGATGATATTTCCTTGGCACACTTTGGGCCAATTATTACCAATTGAGTGTCAACCCCACAGCCTACCTGAGTATTGTTGCTGACCATGTCCATCCCTTTATGACCACAGTGTTCTCATCTTCTGATGGCTACTTCCAGCAGGATAACGCACAATGTCATAAAGCGTGAATCATCACAGACTGGTTTTTCTTGAACATGACAATGAGTTCACTGTACTCAAATGGCCTCCACAGGCACCTTTAGGATGTAGTGGAACGGGAGATTTGTATTATGGATGTGCAGCCGACAAATCTGCAGCAACTGCGTGATGCTATCATGTCAATATGGAGCAAAAATCTATGAGGAATATTTCCAGTACCTTGTTGAATCCATGACACAAAAAATTAAGGCAGTTCAGAGGACAAAAGGGGATCCAACCTGGTACTAGTAAGGTGTACTTAATAAAGTGGCCAGTGAGTGTTTTATATATATATATATATATATATATATATATATATATATATATATATATATATATATATATATATATATATGTATGTTTTTTCCCTCATTCATCTACAGTGTCTGGGCAAATCTTACAAAAATTGTCAAGAGCATAATTATATTTGAGCTCAAATTCAAAATACTAAAAAAATGGCTAAAAATTTAACATTTTACTATTGAATGAAACAAAAAGAGTTTATACTTTAACGAATAAAGCAGAAATGAGAGTATCACAGAACGTGAATCACAGTGAGGGTAAAGAAAATCTGAATGCCTTACACAAGATTTCTCTTTTCTTTTGATTTTTGGGGGGGATTAAATGCAAGCTGGAAGTTTGTGGAATTCACAAGTAAACCAAAATACATCAAGATAAAAACATTCAATGCTAAGAGCACACAGAAGTGGACAAAACTGTTGGTCTCCTTCAAGTGTGTTCAGGCCAGTTTTATTAGTTTGCCTTTTTATTGCTTCTGTTCAACCACAATTCACGAGAAAAATCTGATTTGCATTTTATTATCAGGAGTGTTACGACTAAAGTTTGTTTATTTATTTTTTATTGCGTGTTGCATGTGTCTTTTTCTTTGTCCCGCCTTCTTGTGTTGTTTTTTGTTTTTCCACAGGCTCCCATTCTAACGTGATTCGTGCTCTGATTGGCTGCTGGTAGCGGAGACCTATAAAAAGGAACTTCCGGCAGGGTTCGTGGAGCTCATTTGTGGTGCGCCGGTTGCTGGGATTGGAGCTGCTGGATTTCCCTTACCCCTCCGGCCAATGGCCAACATTTAATCTTGTACCATTTTTTTGAGAGTTTGAGCTTGTAGGGGTGGCTTACCTATTTATTGGATTACTTTTGACTGTGTTTATGTTTAGGGAGAAAGGTAAGCTTCCCGTATTTTTCTTTAATTATTTAAAGGAAATTAAGCTCTTTTACTTATAGATTCTTGTGTTTGTTATTTTGCCCTGTGGCCACCGCGAAGAGATGCTCATTTAAAATGACTATTTTTCTATAATAAATCTAATCAATTACTCTCAAATGAGTGTCTAAGTTTGATTGTCGACCGAAGGGGATCTTTTGCATTAAGTTTTTGTTTTGTTTTGGGAAATCCACCACCCCAACACATTGGTTTTTCAGTTTATTATGCCCATGTTGGTTTCCTTAAGACTTTGGGTGTAATAGTAGTCTTTAATTAATCATTACTTTTTTAAATTTCAAGTTATTTTAGTGACCACTTCACTGTTTAGTATAGTTTAGTTGGGGTTATTTCATTTCATCTTCATAAAGCACTTTTAAAACAGCAGGAGCTGACCAAAGTGCAAAATATAGTCAAATATAAAGTCCAGAGAATAAAAATAGCACTAACTGCTCAATGTAGCGCAGGCAGATGAGAAAAACAGATGAGAAAGATAGAAGATTAACACACACACACACACACACACACACACACACACACACACACACACACACACACACACACGCACTCTTGATTTCTTACAAAAATGCAATGATACACACACACACTTCATTTTTTTTCTTTCAAGAGTTCCCTCTTAGCTGATGATTAATTATAAAGCGTGTCTGGCATGCTGTCCTGGGAGAGAGCCCTGAGCTTATGAGATCCTCGAGCCTGGGGCTCCCTCCCGTTGCAGGGTGAGAGGGGAGTCTGAGCTCAGGTAGGTCTCGAGAACTCCCCTGCTTGATGATGGTAAATGCAAATTTTGAATTATCTATGGAGAGTGTGTGCTGCATTAAGTGCTTGTTAGTGATTTAGTTTAGTCAATTTGCTTATGCTACATGTTTTTGGTCTGTGGAAGGAAACCGGAGAGCCCGGGAAAACCCACACAAAGACGGGGAAAACATGCAAACACACAGAAATGCCGACCTAGCTAGGTAAAATTTGAGCCAGTGACATGGCGAAGGTTAGATACTCTGATTATTTAGGGTGATTTAGGAATCGTCTGATTGGTGGATCATGCGTTAGCTAATGAGGACCATAAGTGTGTGCTCCTCTCGAATTTTTTTTATGAATAAACTTCACTCAATAAAATGGCACCAACAATTTAGTCCACATCTGTACATTAAATCCCAGTCCAGTGTTCTGTGTTGACCTGACTTGTGTTAGCTGTTGTTGTCGTCTCTGTTGATTGATTGTTGTGTAGCGCTGCTGGCGGTTTCCTCAGATCTGCTGTGGCTTCATTGATGCCCTGTTTGAAGAAGCTGCCGTGATGTTTCAGTCGGTGCTTCCTAACACGCACAAATAGACAGAGAGACAAACGCTTCAGTGATTGAACAGCTGATTTGTGCCTGAAGTGTCAATATGCAATAAGGCATTCTGCAAGCTTATCACTTCTTGCATGCATTTGTAAGCCAGTGTTGTAAGAGTTATCATTTACAGTCCTGCAGTGTGTGTCCTCCTGTCACTGATTCCATCATGCAGTATGAACACAGCAGCAATTGAACGCCACCATACAGTGCATCCAGGAAGTACTGATAGCGCTTCACTTTTTCCACATTTTTTAATGTTGCAGCCTTATTCCAAAATGGATTAAATTCATTTATTTCCTCAACATTCTGCACACAATGCCCCATAATGACAATGTAAATTTTTTTTTAAATGGTTGAAAATCTATTAAAAATAAAAAAGCTGATAAATCAGATGTACATCAGTGTTCTCAGCCTTTGCTCAATACTTTGTTGATGCACCTTTGGCAGCGATTACAGCCTCAAGTCTGTTTGAATATGATGCCACAAGCTTGGCACACCTGTCTTTGGGATTTTTTGCCTATTCCTCTTTGCAGTACCTCTCAAGCTCCATTGGGTTGGATGGGAAGTGATGGTGTACAGCCATTTTCAAATCTCTCCAGTGATGTTCAATAGGATTTAGGTCTGTACTCTGGCTGGGCCACTCAAGGACATTCACGGAGTTGTTGTGAAGCCAGTCCATTGATATTTTGGCGGTGTGCTTTGGGTCATTGTCCTGCTGGAAGATGAAACATCGCCGCAGTCTGAGGTCAAGAGCACTCTGAAGCAGGTTTTCATTCAGGATGTCTCTGTACATTGCGGCATTCATCTTTCCCTCTATCCTGACTAGTCTTCCAGTTCCTGCTGCTGAAAAAAATCCCCACAGCATGATGCTGCCACCACCATGCTTCATCGTAGGGATGGTATTAGCCTAGTGATGAGCGCTGCCAGCTTTTCTCCAAACGTAACGCCTGGCGTTCACTCCAAAGAGTTCAATTTCAGTCTCATCAGAGCAGAGGATTTAGTTTCGTATTGTCTGAGAGTCCTTTAGATGCCTTTTGGCAAATTCCAGGCGGGGAGTGTCTTCCGTCTGGCCACTCTACAGGCCTAATAAGTGTACAGATGCTGCACAGATGGTTGTCCTTCTGTAAGGTTCTCCTCTCTCCACAGAAGAACGCTGGAGCTCAGACAGAGTGACCATCGGGTTATTAATCACCTCCCTGACTAAAGCTCTTCTCTCCCTGATCACTCAGCTTAGATGGTCGGCCAGCTCTAGGAAGACTTCTGGTGGTTCCAAACATCTTCCACTTACAGATGGAGGCCGCTGAGCTCATTGGAACTTTCAGAGCACCAGAAATGTTTCTGTCACCTTCCTAACCTTCTGTAATAATCCTGTCTCTGAGGTCTACTGACAATGCCTTTGTCTTCATGCTTGGTTTGTGCTTTGACATGCACTGTCAACCCTGGGCCCTTATATAGACAGGTGTACGCCTTTTTAAATCATGTCCAATCAACTAAATTGAGCACAGGTGAACTCCAATGAAGCTGCTGAAACATCTCAAGAATGATCAGTGGAAACAGAATGTGAGCTCAGTTTAAAGCTTCACGGCAAAGGCTGTGAACACTGATGTACATGTGATTTATCAGCTTTTTTATTTTTAATAACTTTGCAACAATTTTAAATACTCTTTTTTAAAAATATTTTTCGGTTGTTCTACATTTGTAGGTTTGGTGTCTGAGATATTAAGCGTTGTTATATATATTTTTTTGACCCTGTGACATTACTTTTCACTACATTTAGCTCAAATTGCTCCAAATCTGCACAGTTTGTTTGTGCTGGTTTGTGCATTTAAAATTAACACTGTATCTATAGTCCTTGTTTAGATATAAACAAAATATTTCGGGAGCCATGACGTCACTTTCCACCACAGTTCCTCAAAACACTCTCTCACACAGACATACATTCTCTCATACACACCTCTCTTCTCTCCTGCTCTGTGGAGTTTCACTGGACTTCACAAACACCACTGGATCTCCACCCTGAACCAGAGAAGCAAACTCTGTCTCTTTGGCTCGGAAGATTACTCTAAAAAGCAGAAGAAGAAGAAATACATTTGCCTTAATAAATCCATTAAAGTCTGTGTGAAATCAAAATGTTTATTTTGCAGCATTGGGTTGTGGCTGGAAGGGCCACACAAAAACACATGCTGGAATAGTTGGCGGTTCATTCCGTTGTGGCGACCCCTGATAAATATGGGACAAATTAATGAAATTTTGAAAAGTTAAATTACTGTTTTATCGGTTTGTATATATTTCCCAATACTGGGTTGCAGCTGGGCATCCGCTGCGTAAAACAAATGCTAGGAAAGTCAGCGGTTTATTCCGCTGCGGCGACCACTGATTAATAAAGGGACTAAGCCAAAAAGAAAATGAATAAATTAATAAATGTTTGAATATATTTTAAAGTGAAATTTATTGCTTTGATCCAAAGCTGAATATTCAGCATCAGTGTCATATGATCTGTCAGACATCATTTCAGCATCATGATTTGATGAGCAATAAATATTTATGATTATTTCAGGATTTGATGATCAATAAATTTTTATTATTATGATTATTTCATGATTGATGATCAATAAATATTTATTATTATGATAATCAATAAATATTTATTATGATTTTTTCATGATTTGATGATCAGTAAATATTTATTATTATGAATATTTCATGATTTGATGATCAGTAAATATTTATTATTATGATTATTTCATGATTTGATGATCAGTAAATATTTATTATTATGATTATTTCATGATTTGATGATCAATAAATATTTATTATTATGATTATTTCATGATTTGATGATCAATAAATATTTATTATTATGATTATTTCATGTTTGATTATCAATAAATATTTATTATTTTGATTATTTCATGATTGATGATCAATAAATATTTATTATTATGATTATTTCATGTTTGATTATCAATAAATATTTATTATGATTTTTTCATGATTTGATGATCAGTAAATATTTATTATTATGAATATTTCATGATTTGATGATCAGTAAATATTTATTATTATGATTATTTCATGATTTGATGATCAATAAATATTTATTATTATGATTATTTCATGATTTGATGATCAATAAATATTTATTATTATGATTATTTCATGTTTGATTATCAATAAATATTTATTATTTTGATTATTTCATGATTTGATGATCAATAAATATTTATTATTATGATTATTTCATGTTTGATTATCAATAAATATTTATTATTTTGATTATTTCATGATTTGATGATCAATAAAAATTTATTATGATTTTTTTCATGATTTGATGATCAGTAAATATTTATTATTATGATTTTTTCATGATTAATTGATCAATAAATATTTATTATTATGATTTTCATGATTTGATGATCAATAAATATTTATTATGATTTTTTTCATGATTAATTGATCAATAAATATTTATTATTATGATTTTCATGATTTGATTATCAATAAATATTTGTTATTATGATATTTCATGATTTGATGATCAATAAATATTTATTATTATGACATTTCATGATTTGATGATCAATAAATATTTATTATTATGATATTTCATGATTTGATGATCAATAAATATTTATTATTATTATTATTATTATTATTATTATTATTATTATTATTATTATTATTATTATTATTATTTGATGTTACAAAATTTTTGCCATTTGTGCAATATTAACATTTTTCCACATGTTTAAGAAGTTATACGAAAAAGTGTTTTGAATGGAGTTTTGACAGTTCTAAACCACCGTACTAGCGAAAAGCTAAATACTGAATGCCTTCATTTAAGCTACAGATAACCTTATGACAAACACAGTGCATAATATAAAGACAGAATGTGACAGTTGAGAACCCCTATACATGCTGGATTCCGTGACTTGCACACCTCTCACCTGCTGCGGATTGATGTGTGTGTGTGTCTCCATACATTTGACATATGGCCCATAGACATTACAATAGAAATTATGGTCCACTTTCAGTCTGTTTCTTCGACACGTCAACGCGGCCACCATCTATTATAATTTCAGTAGATACTGCCAGCCTCTGTTCAGGATTTGTTTACGAGTGTGAATGTGTGAAGTATCATAAACAAAGTTTCAAAATTCCACTGATTTCCTGAAATAAACTTCGGGATAATCCAGCGCAGCTCTTTGATAATAAGCTGAACTCTTCTTCCTCTGTATTAGATGAACACAATATGCTGCCTTCTCCTCTTCCTGTTTTTACTTTGGAGAAGAGAGAGGAGAACAGTATCACTGCTTAAACTGACTCAAATGTTTTGTGCTGTTTCGTAAAGGATTGAATAATACGCATCGGACTCAGTGTGCAAGGTTTGTTTACATGACAAATTCTTCGCATATGAATACAAAAATAACGCTGTAGTGGCACACCTTTCGTGCAAATCCTTACGTACCACCTTTTGCAGCTTCTATTCCAACAACCAGTATTTGCAAAAACGCGAGTAAGACCGAATCTTCTTTTAAAAAAGGTTTACAGAAGAAATGCAAACAAAAATACAAAGTTACAATAGACTCGATCAGCACGGTCAAAAAACTGTGTTGCTTCCAACATCCATAACTGCAATCTGACTTAAACGTATGAACTAATGACCTCATGACGTATTGCTGTCGGAAGCCAAAATACCAAAGTAAATGTTTTAAAATTGTATTAATTATTAAATTATGTACAATGAATTCTTATTATATGTAAATATACATTTTTATCATGTTTAAACCATTTTAACTAAATTATTATCACAAATGAATTATGCATAACTGGCTCTTACAAACGCATAGGAACATTTCGGACTTCAGTGCGCAGAGACCTTTAGTCTCTATTTCAGAGGTCGCCACAGCGAAATGAACCGCCAGCATATGTTTTACGCAGCGGATGCCCTTCCAGCTGCAACCCAGTACTGGGAAACACCCATACACACTCAGTCTCACACACACACTCATACACTACGGCCAATTTAGTTTATTTAAGTCACCTATAGCGCATGTGTTTGGACTGTGGGGAAAACCGGAGCACCCATGCCAACATGGGGGAGAACATGCAAACTGACCCAGCCAGGACTCGAACCAGCGACCTTCTTGCTGTGAGGTGACAGTGCTAACCCCTGTGCCACCGTGCTGCATTATTTGACAAATGATCTTTGACAAATGAAAAACAAAACCTTTTGACCCTTTGTCAACCGCTGTGTGTGTGTGTGTGTGTGTGTGTGTGCTGGAAAGACTCACTTGGCCTGCGTTTCTCCAGATTTGATCCTCATTCTGCGGATGGTGAACTGATTACTGCTGAAGAAGCTGTAGAGATACGAGTCTTTCTCCCAGTGCAGCTTCAGCATCAGCAGATCTCCAATGTCTCGGTCTGACGTCACCAGGAAGGAGACGGTGCTGTTGGTGCTCATGCTGGGCCTGCGTGCCAAACACAACACATTTAACAGCTTTCGTCCAGGACTGCATTAACCTGAAGTCACTATCAAATCAATAAAGATTAGCTCTTCTTTTTAATTGGCAGTCCGTATTTTAAACAGCGTTGTGAATTATGTTTTAAATTCATGTCCTCATAGTCTTTAATCAAGGTAACTTCCCTCCCTCTTCAACAACATCTCGACTCTGATTGGTGATTACTGGTGGGTGGGTGGGTGGGGCAAATTATTAATTACATAAGATCCACCAATAGCAAGCCACAACAATCCAATCAGTTCTCCAAGGACAAAATCAAGCCCAGTTTACATTTGCTTTTGCTTCAGAAGCAGTTTCACTCAGATATACAATATTACAATACAGAGAAGAAGACTAGTAAAACCCTTATATTTTCTGATAACATTCAAATATCTTAAGAGGTACTTTTAAAAATATAAATTTAATTTGAAATTATTATATATATACACACACACACACACACACACAAACACATTCACCGGCCACTTTATTAGGTACACCTTACCAGTACTGGGTTGGACCCCCTTTTGCCTTCAGAACTGCTAAATCCTTCGTGGCATAGATTCAATAAGGTTCTGGAAATATTCCTCAGACATTTTGCTCCATATTGACATGATAGCATCAAGCAGTTGCTGCAGATTTGTCGGCTGCACATCCATGATGCGAATATCCCATTCCACCACATCCCAAAGGAGCTCTATTGGATTGAGATCTGGTGACTGTGGAGGCCATTTGAGTACAGTGAACTTATTGTCATGTTCAAAAAAACCAACAGAAGTAGCCATCAGAAGATGGGTACACTGTGGTCATAAAGGGATGGACATGGTCAGCAACAATACTAAGGTTGGCTGTGGCGTTGACACGATGCTCAGTTGGTACTAATAAGCCCATAGTGTGCCAAGAAAATATCCCCCACACCATTACACCACCACCACCAGCCTGAACTGTTGATACAAGGCAGGATGGATCCATGCTTCCATGTTGTTGATGCCAAATTCTGTCCCGACCATCTGAATGTTGCAGTAGAAATGGAGACTCATCAGAGCAGGCAACACTTTTCCAATCTTCCATTGTCTCCTGACAGGAGTGGAAACCAGTATGGCCATTCTCCTCTGACCTTTGGCATCAACAAGGCATTTGGGCCCACAGAACTGCCGCTCAGACCAGCCGTCTGGCACCAACAACCATGCCACGTTTAAAGTCACTTAAATCCCCTTTCTTCTCTATTCTGATGCTCGATTTGAAGTAGTAGAGATCGTCTTGACCATGTCTACATGCCTTAATGCATCGAGTTGCTGCAATGTGACTGGCTGATTAGAAATTTGCGTTAACGAGCAGTTGGACAGGTGTACCTAATAAAGTGGCCGGTGAGTGTATGTAACCAAAATAGTAAAAAGAAAAGCCATTAAAATAAATAAATGAGTAAGTTGAACTCACACAATGACAGAGATGTCATTCCTCTCATCGATTGTCCCGAATAGAGACACTTTCATCGGCTGCTCCAGCAAAGTCATGTTTTTATCACTAAACATATGCATTTTAATCTGGTAATGAAACACTGCAACAGAACAAGAGAGAAACACATTATAAATAAATACGTCATGATATACAATATTAAACACACACACACAAATAAGAAAAATTAAAATGAAATAAATTAATTATTTAATTAAAAAAAAAAGACAGTGCGCTGGATACGTTTTTTTTTTCCATCCTTAAAATAGCAAAAGTGCATTCGGACACACCATTAGTGCTTTTGCACCATCTGCTTAATGCTGCGTTCACACCAGACGCGGAACGCGCGTCAATCGCAAGTGATTTACATGTTAAGTGAATGCAAATGTGCGAATAGAAATCCTGCGGCGCGATACGGGCGAATGGCGTGGCACAAATGATGCAAATTGCGCGAAAGGCGCGGTGCGAATAACGCGATACGCGAGAATGGTGCAGGGCGAATTGAGCGTTTTGCACGTTTGACGCGCTTAAAGTCTCGAGTTCGAAAATCTGAACTTTAGTGGACATTCGCGCCGCGTTCAATCAGAAGCTTGCTCTTGTGGGGGCGTGATTGTGACCTAGAACCTGTTGATGGTGTCCCGGGGCAAATCCTCGAGCCGACACCGACAACAGTTCATCAAACTCGGCTTGGCTCAGTCAGAAGCACCGTTGAAAGCCTCCGTGATCCAGGTTCAGTTTCTGGAGGAGTTTATGAGCTCACACAGCTGGATGCACCTCTGAAAGCATGCAGTGGACTCAGACACGACCCTAAACGTATCGACACTGTTTTTCAGCCTTTATAAAGTACATAAACACTGTTATTTTCTTCATAAAATCCATGTTAGCCATTTAGCAACGAAGCTACAGTCACCGGGCAGACAGAAGCCCTGCCCATCACGCGAATCCGCGTCTGTTCTGAAGTGAATTTGACACGCGAATGAAGCGAGTAAACTCAAATGTTCACGCGGCTATTTACACGCGAATAGCGTGATTTATCCAGCACTCTGCGTCTGGTGTGAACACAGCATTAGACTTTGCGCTTAGATCCTTAAAATGGAGCCCAGTATGTTTCACAGTCAAAATATCCCCCCTTACCTTTAAAGGGCATCATCTCGCGGGTTTTGAGGTACATCTTGGTGCTTCTGGTGCTGCGGATCTTCTTGACGTTGTATCCCAGTGTGTTGCAGCGGTTTTTCCTGCAGCTCAGACACAGGCCTTTATTAAAGGAGTCTCTGGAGGCGCAGCGAAACGCCCAGCTCTGATACGCCTGATTCACAAGAGAGTCGATGAACAGGTGGATGGAGCGCTCGTGAGAACATTTCACGATCTGGTCCATATCTGACACAAACCAAAACAGAGGAGATCACAGTCAGATATAGAGTGGAGGAACTATGACGTCAATTTGTATGCAAAAACCCGGAAGCGAGTTAGCATTTTAGCACTTCCGGTTCCCTCGTCCCAAAGTCAATGGGTTTTTTGAATGGGGTTTCAGTAAAATCGCTCAAATAAGGTCCGTGGCTAACACCAACTCAATATACTTTCACGTTTTGTTCTACGACATAAAACACATCAGTTACAGCACACTCATCAACTTTTAAATCGATTATGCTTCTTTAAAAAGACGGTTGCTATCAAGTTGCTAAATGAGACTACAGGCGGCGTCGGGGGCATTATACGTCATCGAGCTGATCTGGTCTGGAGCGCAGCTCGCTTGGGCGTTTGGATTTGTCTGTGATTTAAGTATTTTCAGAATAGTATTTTATAGTTTGTTGTATTATTCTAATTGAGAATTCAGATTGTGTGTAGATAATTCCTTCACATGTAAAGGCTGTCAAAAAAGATTCATTTGTTGATCATTCATTTTAATTAAACGATAATATGAAGATACTGCTCAGTTTCTTTCCTGCTCTCAGTAATGCAAACGTGTGAATAAATGTGTAAAAATACATGCATGTTAACTGTCATTTTAACGTGATCAAGTGATTTCTCGTCTTTTTTTCTTCATCAACACATTTAACTCTGTCATAACTGCAATATTTACACTCCTCCATAAAACGTACAGCAGATGTGACTGTATTGGGCTGTTTTTCACTGTACTTCGTGACACAAAAGGAATATTGAATGTTGTTCTGTGTCCATAATGATGAAACCTGCAGGCATTTGATAGACTTGTTCCTCCTCACGCCGTCGTCTGTTAAGGTAAGCGGGCTGTGTGCACGCGAGCGATACACTTATTTAAATATGTCTCATAATAATACTATATAGGCACATTTATACACATTTTTTAAACTTTTAGAACAACCGCAAAGCAAAGCAAAGCATGTATTTCCCACGTAAAAACGATCCAAAAGGCACAAAGGTCTATGTGTGTTTGCGTATTTATTAGTTTATAATATATAGCGTGGATTACAATATAATATACTGAGAGATTAACTCTTTGTCATGGACGTTATTTCTAAAAATAAGCTTGATAAGTCGTCTGTAGTAGGGTGGGGCTGACGTCACTGACGAGCGCCCCGAGGGCGCTGTAGTCCGTTTATAGCCTAATGTTAGCTTTTCAAGTCTTGCGTTTGCATTTAAGATCCAAAAGTGCTCAATGTTATATTTTCGTGTGACAATTATCCGGCTGAACAAAACGTGTAAGTGTAATGAACAGTGTTTGAACACAGAGCGTATTATTCGCAATCTTCGAAAACCCTATGGGAAAATCCTATAGGGATTTTCACGAGGGAACCAGTTTTATGCTAGCAGCCGATTAGCCTACAAAGTGACGTCATAGTTCCTCCACTCTATAGAGCTGAGAAATAAACAGATTCAGCATCCATATCGCAATGTGCGCATCCGCAATGGACCCTTTTCATAAGTCTGTTGGGACCCATTTAACGGTCATCAGCAGCTTAAATCCTTGAAAGTTTTTAATATTAAGATTTTTTTTATGTGTATATATGTACACCTTTTGGCCATTTTATTAGGTACAACTTAAAAGTACCGGGTTGGACTCCCTTTTGCCTTCAGAACTGCCTTAGATTTGTCAGCTGCACATCCATGATGCAAATCTCCTGTTACAACACATCCTAAAGGTGCTCTGAGGGTGCTTTCACACCAAGACTTTTGTCTCTTTTGCCCAGTTACACGGTTCGCTTGGCATTTGTGAAACCACTAATCGCGCTCTGATCTGCGTCAAATCAATCGCTCCGAGATCGTTTGAATGCAGTGGTCTCGGCTTGATTGAAATGAACTCTGGAGTGGATTGATTGTAGTGAGAAAGCAAACGATCCGAGCCCGGTTATATCATAGTGTTTTATGGATATGTAATAGGCATACGGCTATATGAAGAGAGAATTATCAGTAGGACGGGAGGTCATTTAACAGACATCCCAAGTCTTCGGCAAATGCACAGATCCCGGATGCCCGCAAACGAGTGATAATCTCCCGAAAAATCGCACGTCCTCGTACTTGAGGCCCAAGGTCTCTGGTACGGTTCACTTCTGATATGAATGCGATCGTACCAAATAACGGAAGTTAACCGCCAACTGTACAACTAACTATTGTTTTTAAAACGTTCATTCATGTATGCGTGTGTGTGTGTGTCACGTATTGTACCTTGGTGACTAGCGGGACTGAGCCAGGGCAAACAGAGTGATGTCTGCTTGTCTCCTCCGAAAACAGCTTCTGCAGACACCGTGTGATGTTCTTAATGTTTCTAATATTTGAGGCAAATGGACGCGAGTCGCTTTTTGTATGTCCAAAACTAAAAGATTCAGTAAAAGCAAATCGACCAGTATGTGCAGAAGTCTTTCCAGTTTGGCGCTTTGTCATCTAATGGCTAGTTTCCACTGACTGGTACAGTACGGTACGGTTCGGTACGGGTCACCTTTATCAGGCTTGCGTTTCCTCTACCAAGGGTACTCTTTTGGTGGGCGTGGTGTACGACAAAGTTTCAGTCGACGTCATGCTCGCTCAAGAAAATAAACACAGTAAAGCTGCACAGGTCGCTCGCATATCATATGAAAAGCACTTCTCACAAAACAGACGCTTTACACACATAAATACTTCTGTATAAATGTTTATTACCAACTTTTCTATGAACATGAGTGGTTATAACTGCAGATCAATGGCAGTGCGAAATAGCCTACTGTAACGTCTGTAATTATTTTAAATAAATAAATGAACACATACAGACACTTACAGTCCCCGATATGTTACCAACTACAGAAAAAGTACACACAGCATACATTTCAGCTGCGTCCCAAATCGCATACTTATGCACTATTTTACACCATTTTGTAGTATAAATAGTGTAAGTAGTGTGTTCACATTGAAAATTCTCAAAATAATAAGTGCACTTTAATTACCCGGATGATGCACTCATTCAGCCGCTAAAATGAAGTGTGTAATGATGGACACTTCACGCACTCAACGACCGCAGGTTTGCTCACGTAGCGGAAGGGGCGGAGCGATCGGACGCACATGTTGAATAACTTTATTTATTTTGGATGGTGAAAGCAAAATTCTCCTACGAGAGTGATTATAGCGCCTCCGGATGGTAAATACGGCAATACTCACGGCAGGTATTACTTGATAATTCAGTCGTTAATTTCACTGATTTGGCAACAGTCAAACGTCATCAGGGAAACGGTTTGAATTTCCGCTTAGTAAAAAAACATTAGTGTGCCATTTGGGACAACACTACATACATATACTATCCTGTTGAGTGTGTAAGTGCATAAGTACATAGTGCATGAGTGCATAGTGTATAGTGTGCCATTTGGGACGCAGCTTTCGTCTTTAATTAGGTTCAAAACAACACAAAGTATAGCCTACAGTCAGTGAAAAACTCTCATCTGTGTCTGTAATCTTCAGCAGCACATGTCATGTAGTCCTCTGTTAGAGAGTCATTCCATTATTCCCAGTTCATATTAGTCCAAAAGGTGATGATAAAAATTAAAACAAGGCAGTTTGTTTACGTTTGCTGAAGAAATAGTCTGCTCCTTGGCTTTGCCTTTTTTTCCGCGCCCCACTCTCGCGTTTGTCCTTTTCTTTCTGAATGTGTCATTCTCGCGTTTGTCAGCTTCTCACAGGATCAGGTTTCCAAAGCTTGTCAATAATCAAGCGCACACTATTATTATCAGCTCAAGAGGTTTGTTATTTCAGATATAGACGCGCAGTGAACGCAAGTAATCTCTCGCTGTGTATTTCAAACATGGCGGGTCCTTTGTTTACATTCTGGCTTGTTACCCAAGCGAATGACGTATCTCTGTAAACCAATAGCTTGCAGCTGCGCGTCTAGATCCGCCTTTTGGTACCCTTTCTTGTGTTTGGGATCCTTTCGAAAGGGTGCCGAACAAGTGGTAAAGTACGGTTTGGTTCGGTACGCCTTTTAACAGTGGAAATGACCATAAAAGCATACCAAACCGAACCGTACCACTCAGTGGAAACGGGCCATAACAACAGCCAAACAGCCCCGTGCAGAGTCTATGAAAGAGGGCATGTGCAGGACAAAATATTTGGAGAAGGGGGGGAGGGGGGTGTGGTCTGGGTTGTCGCGAACTGAAAAGCGAAAGAGGGCGTTTGGGGCGGGGGGGGTCGTCGCGGGGGCACTTCAGATTATTTAAGAAGGGCACTTTCTATCAAAGACTAAAAAGGGCATGTGCATTGCACAGGTTGAGCCCTATGTGTGCACGTGCCTGCAGCCAAATAATGGAAGTGAACTGTCAACAGTACAACAAACTATTGTTTTCATAACAGTGATAATTTCTACTTGTCTCTTCCAAAAACAGCTTCTGCAGACACTGTGTGATGTTCTGAACGTGGACGCGAATGACCGCAATATGTTGACCTCTTCTCATTTCATCGCTTTGCTTTCATGACCATCACCTAGCAACAGCCGTAAACAAAACAGCAGCTTGATGACGGAAGGATACCGGGGTTCAGATGCAAAGAAACAGTGTGAACACAAACCATCCGAGAAGGTGGCAAGGGGCGACAATTGAACTTAAAGAGCCCCTATTATACATGAAATAGGGTCATATTTTGGTTGTAAGGGTCTCCAACAACAGTCTAATATGTATGCAAGGTCAAAAAACACTTTCATGGTAAATAATCTGCATTTATTTTGACCTAATTATCTCAGCGACTCCCATATGAATCGTTCAGTGATTAATTCGTTCCCAAACCTCTCATTAGCGCGAAGCTAATCTGCGCTGATTGGACCGATGACAGTCTGTTGCGATTGGTCGACACTGACTGCCTTCAGCGAGAGACAGAATGAAATGCCCAGCAGCTAATCAACATTATAAAAGTAGTCACGATGCATACACGCTCGATAGTGTAGGCGTGGAGTTTAGCTGCCAGCGGGTGAATGTAAAAACAGATGATGGACTTGAAAATACCGACGACTAACTATTTTATTGAGCAAAAACTCCAAGAGCTGGTGAGGAGATCTCCTAGCTTGTCTCACTCTGCTCTTTTCACAGACACATACACACATACACACACACACACACACACACACACATACGTACACACATAACTCTCCTCCAGACGACAATGCGCGCGCACACACACACACATAACCCTCCTCTGGACTACAACGCATGCACGCGCACACACACACACATACACACACATAACTCTCCTCCAGACGACAATGCGCGCACACACACACACATAACCCTCCTCCGGACTACAACGCACGCACACACACACACACACACACACACATAACCCTCCTCCGGACTACAACGCACGCGCACACACACACACACATAACCCTCCTCCGGACGGCAACGCGCATGTTTGTGTGTGGGTTTCTGTGTTAGAGGGCGGGGCCTCAGGTTTCAAATCTCCCGGGTTTGCACGTGGGCGTGAATAACTCCGTTGTAACGTCAACGAAACACCTAATGACTCGTCACCTAATGACTCCTTTGAAGCACTATGATCGACTCTTTTATAGATATATCAACAGTTTTAAACACTGTACACTTACAGATTAAAGCCTTAGCTGGATATTTGACTTCATTTTTAAAAGCATTTTTAAAAACCCATAATATGGGCTCTTAAAGTACGGTCCAGGTAATTGAACCAAGTGTGAAAGCACCCTATATTTAAGACTATTTAAGGCCTAAAATTTAGTTTTTGAGATAGTTTTAAGACATTTTAAGACCCAGCGGATACCCTGCACTATTATACAGTTACAAAAATGTAAACCAAATGTTGCAAAAAAAGTTGGATTAAAATATTATTCACTAAAGCGAAACTGAAATTAGTTAAAATACAGTGAAAACTTGATGCAAAATATTATTGTACAAGCAAAAAAAAAAAATGAGCGTATAATATGACAGCGGTTTCAGTGGTAGAAATGCAGCACTGTAACCTACTGTATATGCCGCATGTGGCGATGAGCTTCATTGTGTGCTGAATGCTGCAGCCAGGCTGGAAAGTTCCTCCATTGGGGTAAATGTCCACGTGCCCCACAGGTCTCTGGATGCCGATGCTGAGGTCGGGAGAGCCTCTGGTGTTTGTGTGCAAAACGTCCACAAACGAGGCATCGTCAGGAGACAGACGCCGCAGAATGTCTGCATTCTCAAAACTGGGGCCCGCCGGATCCAGACCTGCACAAAACAACACTATTTCACTACGCTATTTCATGCTCAAGCTTTACTGTCATGCCTCTACATGTGTGGACATAACGTGGAAAGAAAAGTCATTAAATATCAACACAGAACAGCACTCAACTTAGAGCTCCTTTCAGCTTTTTTTCAAGTTCAACTTCAAGTTTGTGTGTGGACATAACGTGCAACAAAACGTCATTAAAAATCACTAAAAATACAGTTACTTTGCTTTTCTGAATGGATTTAAACAAAACTGTTCAATTTATATACAGTATTTAATAGGGATGTAACAATATTGTAAATACCGTCATACCGCAATAGTCATTTTTATCAATATTACCGTAGGCGCATGACTCAATAAAACTGTATTTCTGAGAAAAGTTTGGAGAATGAAGCGAACAGAGGGTAGCGGGAACTACAATTCCCATCAGGCTAGGCGTGGCCATCATCCTTTGCGGTCTGTTGTCACTACAGATCCAGTAATGCGGAAATGAAGTGTGTTGCTAGTAACGGGGAAGAAAAAGAGCTGGAAATGATCGAACCTAAAGCGGGTTTTAAATCAGATGTGTGGAAGCATTTCGGTTTCTTTCTAAAAAGATACGAAAAAGGAGAAAAGGTGACAGACAAAGAAAAAAACAGTATGCAGGCACTGCCAGACTGTGGTGAAATATAAGTCAGGGAATACGACTAAAACAGTCATGGGGACTGCAGAACACAGCACACTTGTTAGATTGATGCAGACATTGACTTGTACCGCAAAGAGACCTCTATCTCACTCATGGCTTGTCCACTCAAGTGTTAGGAAAGACGATGCACAACGTTACCCACTGCTGTCAACCTTGGCTAAATCATATCTCTCTGTCCCAGAAACCTCAGTCCCAAATGAGAGGCTTTTTTCTGTTGCAGGGGACATGCCCAGAGATCCCAGCTTTTACCAGATTATAGTTATATGATCATTTTCCTTAAAAAACCCATCTCTATCTAAGTGAGTGAGTGATTAAATGTTGAATGTGATGAGTTTTCAACAATACTAAACTGAAACTTTATTTTTTTATATGGTTTAATAGTTTTTTGTTATTAAAATTAAAAAAAATTTAAGTTCCTGTTTCGAAACGTACAGATAGACGGCTAATCTGTATGTCACTGATATGTTCAGTGCTAAGGTAAATAAACACTTTTGCCACTTTTTTTCGAGTCTTTTCATTAGTTTTGTTTTTCCTGTAAATTATTTAATAAATATCGTACCGTGCCATTCATACCGAGGTATTATCGTACCATGAAATTCTGATACCGTTACATCCCTAGTATTTAAGGAAAGTATAAGTAACTAAGTAAAAGTTCAAGAAACCCTCTAGTACTTCTTTTGAGATTTTACAGATGTGTGTGTGTTGAGCATCAATTAAGACAATGTTAGCACCTGTCAGCTTTAATTGTGGGGACTACTGGATAATCTTGAGCTTTTGTCAGCTAATTTGATCTTCCGGGTTTAAAATAATTTTGGGGCGGATCAAAATCGGTGATGTAGCGCTCATCTGCCTGTCCAATGATGATGTGTCGGTTTCTCGCAATCATTAAGGGTGTCACAATCCTCCAAATCCTCGATTCGTTTACATTTTCGATTCTAAAGTCACTGTTCGATTCGATTTTTGATTATGAATAATTAATTAATAACAAATTAATTATTAGTAGCCTACCGTTTAAACTACCTGACCTGCATGGTCTTTGTTTCACCCATAAACAAATCATACAGTAAATGAATAAAGGCAAGTTACACACATAATTACCACCTGTCAATCACTTTTTCTGCGGGACTCGTGAATAGGCAGTGATCTGTGTCGTTATAATGGCGTCGGTAAAAAAGTTGCACAACCAACAGGAGCCAGCCAACAGTATCTGAGGTGTTCGCTAAAATGACTAAGTACAAGTGAGTGAAAGATTGAAGCAGTCCTCTGACTGCCTGGACCTGCTCTCTCGAGCGCATGGCTGTGTGTGCATCTGTGTCTGTATGTGTGTGTGTGTGTGGTCACATGTGCGTTTTCAGCGGTAGTGAGGATGGAAGGAGGGCTGCTCAGAAATGCTACACGCCACTGTGGATGTCAAATAGTTGTCATTCTAAAATGGCATTTAAAAACAAAGATATATTAGTGTAAACAGAGCCTGGGTGTGTACTTTTCGCGAGCGGATTTGCAACGGGGGCGGGTGGAGGATCGCGATGCCAGTGTTGTCTATTGGACGAACCGTATGTAATGCGTACATAGCAGATCTTGCAAAACTGTATTTTTTTTTGTCGACAACACTAACCTTGTCAACATAACTCACTGGAAATCCAAAATGCTTCCACACTGGCAACTTCATTGAAAGAGGAGAGGGTTTAAGTTCTGTCGACGGGTCTCCTGCATCTGCAGTTCAACAAGCACTTCAACAAGCCTGTTTTTTCCTGCTTGGCAAGCCAAGCTGACGTGACATGGGGGCGTGGCAGCATCGACGATTCCATTTTTTTATTCGATAATCAAAATTGAGCCATAGCTATCATAGCTGAGTTTTCTTATTGTATGAGGAGAGCCTGGTTCTTTATTATTCTTGAGAGCACGTGCTTTCCGAAGGCAAGGCAGACCTGCCAAGCTGCGAGACCGCGTCTGCGCATGGCACGCATTATTTAGCCATTAATGAAGGGTAATATGTGTGTTTCCATGATCCACAAGGTTTGTTGTATGTTTTCTCCATGATGCTGTCCAGGCCGATACAGCGAAGCTTTTGTGTGCAGCGAGCATTTTTGTCAGGAGAGCTGAACGAAAATTGGAGAGTGGCTGACCTTGTTTTTTATCAGTTGGGTTTGTTACCATTCAGCCACATCGCCTATCCGTGCTGCTGTGTTTGCCCGTGTTTAAAATCATAGACAACAAAGATAGTGGGGTCATTCTTCATCAATGGAAATCTCAAGGCCACTGGATATTTGAAAGTGCTACATGACGATGTGTTTCCCTCTTTATGCACTGAAGCTGGCACGTTCCCTGAGTTTTTCCAGCAAGATGGTGCACCACCACATTATGAGTGTCGAGCATTCCTCGATGAACAGTTTCCTGAAAAGTGGATTGGTCATCGTGGGCCAGTTGAACGGCCCCCAAGTCTTCTGATCTGACTCCCATAGACTTTTATTTTTGGGGTCATCTGAAGGCAATTGTCTATCCGCTTGTTAAGTGGTGACGTGTTTGTGACGTATGTAATACTGTTTCCGGGTCCAAGCCGCCACTCATTTGAGTGGAGAAATCATTCGTTTATGATCACGTTTTATTCATATCACACATTAAAGTTAATTTTACATAAAGTCATAGTGTACACAACAATCTCTGGGCTTGCTGCATCACAAATACCAAAACTTTTACAATTAATAAAAAAATGTATTACTTTCAGGCCATCAGATATTAGACATGGACATATATACTGCGATCGTGATTTTCGAAAGTATTAAATCGCTTTGTAAATATTTATTATTACCATTTCATGAATCTCCCCATTCAGTTGAATAGAGCGCTTGGACCCGGAAGCCGCTTCGCGTGACGTCACACTTAACAAGCGGATGGTGTGAAGATACAAGATGTGCAGCACCTGAAACTACAGATACCGGAAGCCTGTGCTGGCATTTCTCCTGCGGTGTTGCTATCAGTGTGTGAAGAGTGGGAGAAGAGGCTTGCATTGACAATCCAACACAATGGGCAGCACATTGGACACATTTTATAAGTGGTCAGAAACTTGTAAATAACTCATGAAAGAATAAAGTTATGTTAAAACCAAGCACACCATTGTTTTACTTGTGAAATTCCCAATAAGTTTGATGTGTCAAATGACCCTCTTCAAAATGGCCACCATGGTCACCCCCATCTTGAAAAGTTTGCCCCCTCACATATATTAATGTGCCACAAACAGGACGTTAATGTCACCAACCATTCCCATTTTATTAAGGTGTATCCCACCTTGTATGCCCACCTTGTATATTACCTAAAAATAAAAAGTAATGCCTTACTTTTACAAATCTGCATGCTGTTGTTGAAAAGCACACACTTGAGCAGTAAATGGAGGATTTCTGACCTGTAATTCTGTGGACTTTGTTGTTGGTGAGGTTTCCTGCGACTCCTGCGACATGCGCACCGAGACTGTAGCCTAAAAGATGCACTTTCTCCAGCGGATAATCCAACTCCTCTCCAACACAAACACAAACACATGCGTCAATAACATGTCTTGGTCATATTTACTAACTTCTCTTTCAAGTAGGCATGAAATGCAAGATGTGATCTTGGTAATTTTTAATCAAGTGTTTTAAATCATTTGTAATAAACATTCATTCATTCACTCATTTTCCTTCGGCTTGGTGCCTGGTTTATCAGGGGTCGCCACAGTGGAATGAACCGCCAACTATTCTAATATATGGTTTATGCAGTGGATGCCTTCCAGCTGCAACCCAGTACTGGGAAACACCCATGCACGCTCACATTCACACACACTCATCACTGTGGCCAATTTGGTTAATCCAATTCACCTACAGTGCATGCGATTGGACTGTGGAGGGAAACCGGAGCACCCGGAGGAAACCCACGCCAACACGGGGAGAAGATGCAAACTCCACATAGAAACGCCAACTGACCCGGGACTCGGACCAGCAACCTAACCACTGAGCCACCGTGCCACCCTTGTAATAAACATTCATTCATTCTCTTGTCGGCTTAGTCCCTTTATTAATCTGGGGTCGCCACAGCGGAATGAACCGCCAACTTATCCAGCGTGTTTTTACGCAGCAGATGCCCTTCCAGCCGCAACCTAATCTCTAGGAAATGTAATAAACATGTCAGACATAAATTATATTTAATTAAAATGTGTCCATTTTGATTTAGCATTGACTAGAATAAAGAAACTTGAATTTCAGAGTCATTTATAGATATTTTTTGACAAATCAGTGTTACTTTGATATGTTTAGTTTACCTTACGCATGTTTTTTTATGTTTTTAACTTGCTGTATTTTCACAAATTTATTCATTCATTCATTCATTTTCTTTTCTGCTTAGTCCATTTATTAATCCGGGGTCGCAACAGCGGAATGAACCGCCAACTTATCCAGCAGGTTTTTATGCAGTGGATGCCCTTCCAGCCGCAACCCATCTCTGCGAAATTCACAAATTTATTTGATATATTTTTATTGTATTCATTTTATGATTTCAGCTTATTTCAGTTAAAGGTTTGGTATTTTTTATGATATTATATGGTCATTTTTAATATTTAGTTTTTTTGTACATTTATGTTTAGGTCTTATTATCTTATTCTATTTCAGTTTGAGTTTTAGTTCAATTTTAGTGTCTTACTTAGTTGTTTTATTTCAGCTTTTTTTTCAATTATTATAGTTTAGTTAACAATAACAATCATAGGGATGTTTGTAATTTACAATAATGTCACATTGCTAAAATTTGATTAATTATAGGCGGTTTATTAGACTGTGGTGAGCCCTGAAGCTAAAGAACAGTGAGTGAGTAATTTAATTTAACTTAACTTTTTTATTTAATTTAAAACTGTTTTGTTTTTATTTTTATTATTATTTTAAAAGTATATATACATAGGTAAAAATTAGAAGTTACCATGAAATCAGAATAGAAAACTTATTTATTTAAATTTATATATGTATATATAATTTTTTAAAATATTATTTAATTTATATTTTATATTATTAAATTATATTATCATTATTATTATTATTATATTATTATTTATATATTTTTACCTGGAAGGATTATCTCTAATTTATGTGTTTTTGCTCAACCTTAGTGTACTAAGGTTGAGGTAATATTTGGCTGTCATGACGTTATTACAAAAATACAACAGCGATAAAACGTACAATGCTAGCAATGCAAATCTCTGCCTACCTCCAGCCAGTTGACAAACTTGGCAACGTCGGCCCCCACTAGCCTGGTGTTTTCTGCTGATTTGGGGTAGTGTTTGTTGGCCCGATCCAGCCAGTCCACAACAATGACATTAGCGCTGGGTTCACGATCATACAGAGCCGTCACCAGCTTATAAACCCAGCTCTCAAACAGACCCGCAACCTAGAGACAGTATAAGAGGGATTAATATAATATAATATAATATAATATAATATAATATAATATAATATAATATAATATAATAAAATATATGATTGTCTGGAATGCTCAAATCTGATTGGTCAGATTTGCAACATTCCAAGGTTTGTTATTCTGAGATAACAACTGCTAAATAACACCTCATCTGGGAACTTCGAATCACCTTGTCCGTCAGTAAACACGTTCATATCTATATACTTTAAGTACCTTTACATTCATATGCATCTGCTTGTCTGACATGCGACTGTTTTTGTAATAATACTTGGTCAGTCGCTTTATTCTGCTATTTTTGTTTCTGTCTGCTTTGCGTTTTTGGCTGTTTGGCACCATCTAGTGTCTGAATAATGTGCAAGTTAGTGTATACTCCATCAGCTGTTTTCATCTGTCTGCTTTGTGTTTTTGATTGTTTGGCGGCATCTTGTGTCTGAATAATGCACAGGTTAGTGTATACTCCATCAGCTGTTTTCATTTCTGTCTGCTTTGTGCTTTTGACTGTTTGGCGCCATCTTGTGTCTGAATAATGCACAGGTTAGTGTATACTCCATCAGCTGTTTTCATTTCTGACTGCTTTGTGTTGTTGACTGTTTGGCGCCATCTTGTGTCTGAATAATGCACAGGTTAGTGTATACTCCATCAGCTGTTTTCATTTCTGTTTGCTTTTTGTTTTTGACTATTTGGCGCCATCTTGTGACTGAATATTGCGTTGGGCAGCTGTTTTTGTTTTTGTCAGCTTTGCGTTTTTGACTGTTTGGCGCCATCTTGTGTCTGAATAATGTGCAGGTTAGTGTATACTCCATCAGCTGTTTTCATTTCTGTTTGCTTTTTGTTTTTGACTATTTGGCGCCATCTTGTGACTGAATATTGCGTTGGGCAGCTGTTTTTGTTTCTGTCAGCTTTGCGTTTTTGACTGTTTGGCGCCATCTTGTGTCTGAATAATGTGCAGGTTAGTGTATACTCCATCAGCTGTTTTTGTTTCTGTCAGCTTTGCGTTTTTGACTGTTTGGCCCCATCTTGTGTCTGAATAATGTGCAGGTTAGTGTATACTCCATCAGCTGTTTTCACTCCTGTCTGCTTTGTGTTTTTGACTGATTGGCGCCATCTTGTGTCTGAATATTGCGCAGGTTAGTGTATACTCCATCAGCTGTTTTCATTCCTGTCTGCTTTGTGTTTTTGACTACTTGGCGCCATCTTTTGACTGAATATTGCGTTGGGCAGCTGTTTTCGTTTCTGTCAGCTTTGCGTTTTTGACTGTTTGGCGCCATCTTGTGTCTGAATAATGTGCAGGTTAGTGTATACTCCATCAGCTGTTTTCATTCCTATTTGCTTTGTGTTTTTGGCAGATTGGCGCCATCTTGTGTCTGAATATTGCGCAGGTTAGTGTATACTCCATCAGCTGTTTTCATTCCTGTCTGCTTTGTGTTTTTGACTACTTGGCGCCATCTTTTGACTGAATATTGCGTTGGGCAGCTGTTTTCGTTTCTGTCAGCTTTGCGTTTTTGACTGTTTGGCGCCATCTTGTGTCTGAATAATGTGCAGGTTAGTGTATACTCCATCAGCTGTTTTCATTCCTATTTGCTTTGTGTTTTTGGCTGATTGGCGCCATCTTGTGTCTGAATAATGCACAGGTTAGTGTATACTCCATCAGCTGTTTTTGTTTCTGCTTTGCGTTCAAATAAAGAATTAATAAAATATTGTGGCTCAGAGCAGAATTTTTAAGTCTAATTTTTATGATTTGTGGCGAGTAGCCATGTAATAAGTGGGATAAAGTACATCCAAAATGGTTATTTTCGCAGAATAAACCCTTCAGTTATATCCAACCGTCTTTCACATCAGGCTGCCGATAAACCGCTCAGACATTATTCTGTGATAACAACCTCCTGGATGTACTTTATCACTTGCATATCATCTAATATAATTGCAAATAAATATTTATAATTGAAAGTTTTAGAGTGCCCTTAAAAATAGTCATGTTGTTGTATTAGTGGTTAGTTAACACAGCGGTAAGTGCATAAATATAGCTGATTTATTTTCAAACATTCACATGTTAATCTGGCATACAAGATTTACAATTCTGTTAATATTACAAGTCAACATCAGTTAATTCATCTAAAGTCAATGTAATTAACGTGTGTTTAACTTGATTAACTTCTAATATAGTGCCTAAAAACTAATGTCTAACAACTAAAATCTAAATATGTAATTGTTTTATTAAATAGAGTAAATAACTAATTAATACAGCTTTTTAATTAACTTATAACATGTAACTATAATAGCATTACCTATTGTGCACTATAATCCTTTAGCAATTTATTTTGGTTGAAACATGTTTATTATGAGCATGTACTATATATACTGTAAAGCAATACACCAAGTAATTTTTGGGCTATTATACCAGTTTTTTGCAGCTTATAGGTCAATATTGTGATAATACCGTTATAAAAGCTTTGGTAACTAACCACAACAAGTAAATCTGCAACCAGCAGAAGCCTAGTAAGATTAAAGTACAACATGGAATGCATATAGGGAAGCGAAGCGGAGTGAAAGGTGAAAATATAGTAAAAAATATGTAAATAAATAAACATTGCACCAACGTTATGCTTCATTCATAATTAATAAATGCATTTTCTGACTAAATGACTAAACTTACCGACCATCCGTGGATAATAAGGAAGGTTTGTGAATCATTTTTGAAGTTACAGTCTGAAATGGAGTCCTGTTGTCCCGGGACAAGATAGCAAAGATCCTCGTCTGGAAATTCAACACTTCTGATGGAGAACTTAGACTCAATGTCACTGTAATCTGTAAAATTACCTAAAAAGTAATAAGTAAACACTTTGTAATATCATTCACATCAGAACTATTTACTTAGCATATGCATTTAACTATTTAATTTGCTGTATGTGCATGTTAAAGTTCTCATCTGAACACAATCTAGTTGCTAAGATTTATGATTTCCAAGCCATTGTTCTTTGTAATACATGACTTTTATAAAATCTTGCTAATCCAGAATCAGTCCACATGCAATGTCCAGTACAAGTAAATCCTATTAAATAGTACCACACTGATCCTGGACCTGCGAGTTGACAATTTAAACGCAAACATGTATCTATTGCGTTGTTTATATACGTTTACATATTTCTACAGCTGAAAGCAATGCACTTATTGCAAAAGTAAGCTGTCAAATATTTCAATAAAAATATATAACATACATTTAAATCAATAAACTAAGTTTGTCAAGCTAATTTTGCTGTATTATCCACGAATGAGGAGCTTTAACGTTAGTTTTTGTGTTTAAAACGTAGGAATGTAATTCTGAGGGCTAATATAAAGACCCAAAAGCTTCTTACACTCAGTATATGTGTGTGATAGACTTCTACAGGTCATATAGAGCATTAATTTCTGCTGGATTGTACATTAAATGTTAAACATGAACCAGAAACACGTCGAATAGTAGATAGACTTACTTGCAAACGCTTCTTCAGTGGAGTTGAAAATTGGTTCGCTCGCAATTAGAGAAAATCCCATTAGCAGCAGCCAGAAATTTTCCTGTCCCATAGTAAGTTACACAATAAATCAATAATTTTAATAGAGCAAAGCAGTGTTAAGCAATGATGTTAAGCGAATGATTTCAACGGAAGCTCCGCGTGTTATTTATCATTGTGAACCTGCAGCTGTTCACGGCTTTTATACCGAACAATGAGTGTTTTTTTCACGCCCTTCAGCAATTGGTTGAAAGTGAGCGAGAGGCGTGGTTATCAACTCAAAGCGCGGCGCTATCAGCAAATCAAATGAGCGAGATTTACATTCGGCCAACTGTCAATCACAAGCGTAACGTAAACAAATGCATATGCATGAATGAGGCTTTTTGTGTGTTGGCCTGGCTTTGCACAGATTTACACATTGTGATGCTAAACACTTACATTTAAAGAGAGTGACGCAAAAAGCTTATGGTCACAGCAGCCTAAATCCACTCAGTTAAACCTGTTTTTAAAGCATATTAAGATTTTTCTTTGCATGATAAATATTTTTAAAAGATGGTTTAAATGTTTATATAATTAAAAACAATTTTTAATGAATTATGGTTGAATTATAAAGACATTTTATTATATATATATATATATATATATATATATATATATATATATATATATATATATATATATATATATATATATATGTGTATACATACACACACACACACACACACTCACTTTATTAGTAGGGCCACACGGAATCTGCGGACGTTTTTTGCTATTTCTGGGGAGAATTTTGGTAAAAATCTGCGGATTTCTGCGGAATTATTTTGGGGGTATCTAGTGGAGTGTCATAACTAAAACCTTAATATATAAAATAAAAAGTAATAAATTACTGAATAAAAACTGAACAAATTCAGATTTACACATTTACTCAAGTAAATAAACAGAATTAATGATGGGCTAAAAATTTGCAGAAATCTGCGGAAAATCTGTGGAATTCTGTGCGCGCAGGTTCCGTGTGGGCCTATTTATTAGGTACACCTACTAGTACCAGGTTGGACCCCCTTTTGCCTTCAGAACTGTCTTAATCCTTCGTGGCATAGCTTCAACATGGTACTGGAAATATTCCTCAGAGACTTTGCTCCATATTGACATGACAGCATCACGCAGTCGCTGCAGATTTGTCAGCTGCATATCCATGATGCGATTCTCCCATTCCCAAAGGTGCTGTATTGGATTAAGATCTGGTGACTGTGGAGGCCATTTGAGTACAGTGAACTCATTGTCATGTTCAAGAAACCAGTCTGACATGATTCACGCTTTATGACATGGCGCATTATCCTGCTGGAAGTAGCCATCAGAAGATGAGTACACATAAAGGGATGGACATGGTCAGCAACAATACTCAGGTAGACTGTGGCGTTATATATAATGTGAAAAAAAGTTTTATTATAATATTAAGCCTATCAAAATCTAAACACACACAAGCAGCAGTAAGGACTTTAGTAATTTTTTTGGTTGTTTTGAATGACAGTCAGTGCCAGCTTTTATTCGTTATTCACTATAATTATTAATAATAATTAGTCCTTTTTGTAGATAAGTCTGAAGAACAGGAGGCTCATTGTTATTTTAGAGGAACAATAGAGATATTAGTCAAACTCAGCTTTATTGTCAATTCAGCCACATGTACAGGACATATAAAGAATTAGGTGCTAGGTGCCTATAACATATAATGTTAATATAAAAAGTAGAATTTTAAGAAAAATTAAATTTACATTATATACAATTGTACATAAAATGCAGTCTAAAAATATACAAAAGGAATAAAAATTTGTAAACAATACATTTACATTTACATTTAGTCATTTAGCAGACGTTTTTATCCAAAGCGACTTACAAATGAGGACAAGGAAGCAATTTACATAACTAAGAGCAACAATGAATAAGTGCTATAGGCAAGTTTCAGGTCTGTAAAGTCTAAGAAGGGAAGTATTAGTAGTATTAGTGTTTTTTTTTTTTTGGTACAGTTAGTGTGATATTCAGAGAGGCAATTGCAGATTAGGAAGTGAAGTGGAGACTAAATAGTTGAGTTTTTAGTCGTTTCTTGAAGACAGCGAGTGACTCTGCCGTTCTGATGCAGTTAGGGAGTTCATTCCACCAACTGGGCAGATTGAGCGTGAGCGTTCGCGAAAGTGATTTCTTCCCTCTTTGGGATGGAACCCCGAGGCGACGTTCATTCACAGAACGCAAGTTTCTGGAGGGCACATACATCTGCAGAAGTGAGAGCAGATAAGAAGGAGCAATGCCAGAAGTCACTTTGTAGGCAAACATCAGAGCTTTGAATTTGATGCAAGCATTTGCCCTTAATGTCAATAAAATGACATTAAGGGCAAATGAGTGCAAACCAGAGTTGTGCAGATAAAGAACAGTATATAGTGCAAAAAGGCTTGTAAACATGATAGAGCGAGCGCCTTGTGACTGTCTCTGCATTTCAGGCTGGCAGTGCGTCTGGCTGTTGCTTTATATCTGCAGTCTCAGATGTCGAAATGTCTTCTGTCCTCCTTCAGGTTATGCAACGGTCAACAGGAATTTGAAGAATTCATGTTTGTCATTGGCACCCTTATAAGTGTCCTTTAGATATTACTGCATTAGTTGGGTTTAGAATGATTATCAGCCTGTTTGGTCACATAATATTCATATATATATATATGTAATCATTTAAAACCTGAGATACAGCTATTGGAAAATCTGGGAACGGAGTGTTGAAAAAACTTACATTTCGAGAAAACTCAAATTTGAAGTTGTCAAAATGAAGTTCTCAGCAGTGTGTATTACTAATCAAAAATTAACTTTCGATATATTTAGGGCAGGCAGCACAGTGGCGCAGTGGGTAGCACAATCGCCTCACACCAAGAAGGTCGCTGGTTCGAGCCCTGACTGGGTCAGTTGGCATTTCTGTGTGGAGTTTGCATGTGTTTCCTCCAGGTTCTCTTGTTTCCCCACAAGTCAAAAACATGTGGTATTGGTGAATTGGGTAAGCTAAATTGTGAATGTGTGTGAATGGGATGTTTCCAAGTGATGGGTTGCAGCTGGAAGGGCATCCGCTGCGTAAAACATATGCTGGATAAGTTGGCGGTTCATTCCACTGAGGTTACCCCTCATAAATAAAGAGACTAAGCCGAAAAGAAAATGAATGAATGAATGAATGTATAGGTAACACTTTACACTAAGGTTCATTAGGTAATGCATTTACTAACATGAGCTAATCATGAACATCACATGTACAGCATTTATTAATCATAATTAAACATTTACTAATGCATTATTAACATCCAAGTCCATGCTTGTTAACATTAGTTAATGCACCATGAGTTAACGTGAACTAACAATGAACTACTGTATTTTCATTAACTAACATGAACAAATACTACTAAATGTAATGTTCATTGTTTGTTCATGTTAGTAAATGCATTAATTAACATTAACAAATGAACCTTATTGTAAAGTGTGAACAATTAATATTTAGGGTAAGAAATTAACTAAATGTCTTCATTAAACATTTCCTTATCTACCTATTATTTGGCATAAAGTAAGAATCAAGTAGGTTCATACAATGTATTGTTGGTTATTCCAACAAATATAGCTTTAAGATATAAGACTGGATTTGTGGTACAGGATATTACAGTTTATAAGTTCACTATGTAACACACTTGAAGAAGACAACAAGCGTGTGATGAACTTGGGTTCTTTTATTCAGCCAGCGTATCTGATACAGATATCGCTAGAGCTTCGTACACAACAACAGTGCTACATTTTCACATTGTTATGATCCTGTCTTCTCTTTCATTTACATTTACATTTACATTTAGTCATTTAGCAGACGCTTTTATCCAAAGCGACTTACAAATGAGGACAAGGAAGCAATTTACACAACTAAGAGCAACAATGAATAAGTGCTGTAGGCAAGTTTCAGGTCTGTAAAGTCTAAGAAGGGAAGTATTAGTAGTATTAGTTTTTTTTTTTTTTTTGGTACAGTTAGTGTGATATTCAGAGAGGCAATTGCAGATTAGGAAGTGAAGTGGAGACTAAATAGTTGAGTTTTTAGTCGTTTCTTGAAGACAGCGAGTGACTCTGCCGTTCTGATGCAGTTAGGGAGTTCATTCCACCAACTGGGCAGATTGAGCGTGAGCGTTCGCGAAAAGTGATTTCTTCCCTCTTTGGGATGAAACCACGAGGCGACGTTCATTCACAGAACGCAAGTTTCTGGAGGGCACATAGATCTGCAGAAGTGAGATCAGATAAGAAGGAGCAAAGCCAGAAGTCACTTTGTAGGCAAACATCAGAGCTTTGAATTTGATGCGAGCAGCAACTGGCAGCCAGTGCAAACGGATGAGCAGCGGAGTGACATGTGCTCGTTTAGGTTCATTGAAGACCACTCGTGCTGCTGCGTTCTGGAGCAGTTGAAGAGGCTTGATAGAGTTAGCTGGAAGCCCAGCTAGTAGAGAGTTGCAGTAATCCAGTTTGGAGAGAACAAGAGCTTGAACAAGGAGTTGAGCTGCATGTTCAGAAAAGAAGGGTCTTTCTTACTGTAATGAAGTTTACGGCCCTTTGGCCGCCGGGAAAAAGGAGGCGGAGAACCGAGGCAGGTTTAAAATATTTATTAATAATAATGACGGCAGCTCCTCACGGAGACTGCCATTTAAACCAAAACAAACGGACGGCAGCTCCTCGCGGAGACTGCCGTCAAACTGAAAGCAAAAGTAAAATAACATGCCCGGGCCCGGTCCTCTCTCGGCTTCCTCTGCCATCGGTCCTCCTTTTATGGTCCAGAGCTCCTTCCGTGGGATCCGAGGCAGGTGCGCACCGCACGTGTATCCACTTACGCGGTGGCCTCACCCCGTTCCCACGGCTCTCGGCCACGCCCCCTCGCCACACTTACCTTTCGGTGGCCTCGCAATGTGACGTCACCGTTAATTAGTTGATTTATGGGTGGAGAATGTATATATTTGAATTTTTTGTGAAGAACGGCACTTCCTCTGGTGGACCGTTATTCCACAGAGAGGTCATTTTGCTCCAACTCTTTAGTGTTGCCGTCTTATGTGTTGTTGTGTATTTTGTTGAGAGAATTTCATCTGATTTCTTATTTATTTCAAATCCCTAGACAGTTTGTTATACTTTATTATTCCCTTTAATAAATGTT